AAGAATCAGCAGGCCAGGGAGCAGTGCTCACACAGAAAATCCGCATGGGACCTCAACTCACGGTTCACAGCGCCATGCCAGTCAATTCTTTTGTTCTTACTTCTTTTACCTTATTGGTTTGGGTAGTACTGTTTGTTTTTGCTACTTTTTGTTGTTTTTTGTTTTGGGTATTGGTATTGTACATCTTGATTCCGGAGTTGATGCGAGGCATTCCTGCTTTATTCGACCGCAAGATCAGAAAGGCTTCGTCGGTGCCTGGGCATGCTGTGGCCAGCGTGCTCAGGGCTTGCGGCTAGGAGCGACGGGGCACTGGAAGTAAAAGGCGCAGGTTTAGGGTTTAGGGTTTAGGGTTTAGGGTCTAGGGTTGAGGGTTTAGGGTCTAGGGTTGAGGGTTTAGGGTTTAGGGTTTATGGTTTGGGGTTTAGAGGGTAAACCCCCCAAAGAACCCAACAGCAGATTGTGTTGTGGATCAAAGTCACAGGAGTTGGATGTCGTTGTTCCCCTCCAGCGAGTCTCGGTTGCCCTCGGCTCTTTTGGGGTTTGGGGGGGGTGGGGAGGGGAGCAGGGGGGCTCGGGTTTTGGGATTAGGGCTTAGGGTTTAGGGTTTAGGGTTTAGGGTTTAGGCTTTCGGCTTTAGGCTTTAGGCTTTAGGCTTTAGGCGTTAGGGGGGGGAGGGCTTGGTGGGGCTACGGGCGTGGAGACGCTGATAAGAAACACCTTGCCCTTCATGAGCCCGCAAGCACTGGGACTGTGAGCCCGGGCGTTGCCAAGCTCTACCACGAAGACCAGTAGCCCTGAACCCTAAACCCTAAACCCTGAACCCTGAACCCTAAACCCTAAACCCTGAACCCTAAACCCTAAACCCTAAACTCTAAACCCTAAACCCTAAACCCTGAACCCTGAACCCTAAACCCTAAACCCTAAACCCCTAAACCATAATCCCCCAAACAAACCCGAAACCCCCCCCCTCCCCCCCCCCCGGCCCTCAACCTTGCACGGACTCAAGCTGCAACTCGGTCACACAGTAACCCTCGTCCCTCCCACCCCTTCTGGAGAAGAATCTCCGCCCCGAACCCCTAAACACCAGCACCCTAAACCCTAAACCCTAAACCCTAAACCCTAAACCCTAAACCCTCCAAAAAAACAACTACCACGAAGGCCCAGTGGCGGTAACCATCAGAGGTTCAACCCGGCTGCTGGCCTTGAAAGGGTTTAGGGTTTAGGGTTTAAAGGGTTTAAAGGGTTTAAAGGGTTTATAGGGTTTATAGGGTTTATAGGGTTTATGGGGTTTATAGGGTTTATAGGGTTTATAGGGTTTATAGGGTTTTTAGGGTTTTTAGGGTTTAGGGTTTAGGGCTTAGGGCAGCTCTCTACAGGTTCGAAGTTGCGATTCAGGGCTCAGGGATTAGGGGTTCGTGGTTCGGGCTCAGGGTTCTCGGTTTGCTGTTTTTACTTTCTGTTGTTTCCTCTTTTTTTTTTTTGTGTGTGTGTGTGTGTTGCTTTTTGCACTGTTGGTGGGGGGCTTAAGGGCTTCCTAAAAGACCTAATTGAAGGGCCATGGTTCTTGTCAGCAGCAGGTCGCCTTGTGGAGAAAGCCTACTTTGCGACAGCCCATGAGCAAAGCCCTTGGAGAGAACCCTGAGCTTGGGACGTTCCCCCTTATACGAACAGTCCTTAATGGGGATTCTCGTATCCCCTATCGTCATCCCGAATCAGATGAAGGACTGCTAGTACCAAGGGGGAACATCCCAGCCCTACATCCGAAAAGGGTCCGAGCTTCAGGCTTCCCTAAACCCTCAACCCTAAACCCTAAACACCCTAAACACCCTAAACACCTTAAACACCCTAAACACCCTAAACACCCTAAACACCCTAAACCCCCTAAACCCCCAAAACACCCTAAACACCCTAAACCCCCTAAACCCCCTAAACCCCCTAAACCCCCTAAACCCCCTAAACCCCCTAAACCCCCTAAACCCCCTAAACCCCCTAAACCCCCTAAACCCCCTAAACCCCCTAAGCCCCCTAAGCCCCCTAAACCCTAAACCCTCAACAGCAGACCAAGGCCCCCGGCAGCCGAGGTGGTGATGAAGGTGAAGGACCGCTGCCGGAGGAAGTTTCGGCAGTAGAGGACGCAGCCTCATGCCGTTTCGGGTTTTAGGGTTTAGGGTTTAGGGTTTAGGGTTTAGGGTTTGGGGCTTGGGGCTTGGGGCTTGGGGCTTGGGGCTTGGGGCTTGGGGCTTGGGGCTTGGGGCTTGGGGCTTGGGGCTTGGGGCTTGGGGCTTGGGGTTCAGCAGTTCCCGAAAAAGGGTTCAGGGCTTATGGGTTCCAGGCAGCGTTTCAAGCGAGGGCTCTGATTGAGGGCTTAGGGGTGTCCGCAAACTAGCAACGACAACCATGACAGTAATCATAACAACAGTAGCAACAAAGACTCATATCAAGATAAGCAACCATCATGATAACCATCACGGCCACACTCCATTCACATGAGCACGTAAAGGGGCAGGGAAGAACCCTGAACCCCAAATCCTAACTCTAAATCCTAAATCCTAAACCCTACACACTCAACCCTAAACCCTAAACCCTAAGCCCTAAACCCAAAACCCTAGCCCCCCTGCTCCCCTCCCCACCCCTCCACACCCTAAACCCTTATAGACCCTTCTTCTTGCGGCTGGCAGCCGTGCGCAACAAAGAGCATGTTGGGACACTTCAGCCCCGCCGAGAAGAGCACCTCGAGGGTTTAGGGTTTCGGGTTTAGGGTTGTAGGGTTTAGGGTTTAGGGTTTAGGGTTTAGGGTTTAGGGTTTAGAGTTTTAGGGTTTTAGGGTTTCGGGTTTAGGGTTTAGGGTTTTAGGGTTTTAGGGTTTTAGGGTTTAGGGTTTCGGGTTTCGGGTTTCGGGTTTAGGGTTTAGGGTTAGGGTTTAGGGTTTAGGGTTTAGGGTTTAGGGTTTAGGGTTTAGGGTTTAGGGTTTAGGGTTTAGGGTTTAGGGTTTAGGGTTTAGGGTTTAGAGTTTAGGGTTGAGGGTTTAGGGTGTAGGAATTTTGGTGTTTCGCGGCTTAGGGCGCTCTCTAGGGTTCAGGGGTTCCGGGGTTCAGGATGTTCCCCTCTATACTAACAGCTCCTTGATAAGCATTCTAGTACCCCTTATAAGAATCCCTATCAAGGGCTGTTCGTATAAGGGGGAGCATCCCAAGTTGTTCAGCCTTTTTGGTGTTCATGGTTTAAGGTTCAGGGTTCGCGACAAAGGGAGAAAAGCCTCTACAACCTGCAACCCCCAAACCTGTAGCCCTGACCCCACACCCCACCAAACAAAAGCACCCAAAGTCCCGCCCGGGCCGGAAGCCTCATGAGGGGCCACGTTCCTCAGTGGAAAGAGGCGCATCTTTCCTTTTTACAACTCCAGGAAGTTCCCAGGTGGGCGGGAGGGGCGGGGGGGAGGGGGTACCTTGTGCAAGGCCTGTATAAGGGGCATATGATCACGAAAGCTAGGGTTTTTACAGGGGTATCAAGAAGGCTGTGGTCGCCCTTGGCTTACATACCCCACCTCCCTTAAGAGCCCTATAACGCTCCTAAGTAAGACGTAAGATCCTCCTCTTGAACTTACAGAAAGGGACCCTAAACCCTAAACCCTAAACCCGTAACCCTAAACCCTAAACCCTACATGCCTTTGCAGGTCAACTACAGGGCCTGAACTGAGGCTCGGTGACCCATCCTTTTAGGGTTTGGGGTTTGGGGTTTAGGGTTTAGGGTTTAGGGTTTAGGGTTTAGGGTTTAGGGTTTAGGGTTTAGGGTTTAGGGTTTAGGGTTTAGGGTTTGGGGCTTAGGGTTTAGGGCTACGGATGCTACTAAACCCGCCCTACTTGTAACCTCCAACCACATGGGGCTTGGGTTTAGGGTTTAGGCTTTAGGCTTTAGGGTTTAGGGTTTCGGGTTTCGGGTTTCGGGTTTCGGGTTTAGGGTTTAGGGTTTAGGGTTTAGGGTTTAGGGTTTAGGGTTTAGGGTTTAGGGTTTAGGTTTTTAGGTTTAGGGTTTAGGGTTTAGGGTTTAGGGTTTAGGGCCAAAGTAGGGGTACAGGGTTCATTCTCGGGGTGGGGGGGGGGGGGGGGGGGGGGGGGCTCCTACGACGAGGAGTTTAGTAATTGAGGATTAGGGGATTCCTATTTTAAGGAAAGTGTCACAGTCATATCTCTATAAGGAATGGGCCCAGTGAAGTGGGTAGCTTGTATTCCACACGTCTGGGGACTGAAATTCTGGAGGCTCCACCCCAAACCCTAAACCCCAAACCCCAAACCCCAAACCCTAAACCCTAAACCCTAAACCAAAGGAACTCTGCAGCTCGGCTGCCAATCCTGCAGTCCACGAACACAAAGGTCGTGCCGAAACGCTTCATGGCTCAAGCCTTGAAAGATGGGTTCTTGGGTGTCCTGGGCCTGTTTCAGCCTACCTAAACCCCCCAAACCCCAAACCCCAAACCCCAAACCCCAAACCCAAAACCCAAAACCCCAAACCCAAAACCCAAACCCAAAAACCATTCGAAAACGCAGGGTTCTCCCTTTTGTGTTGAGCCAGGTGGCACAACGACGTGAAAAAGTCGTGTTTCGCAATAACTGGCACCAGTGCTTCGCAACAGACTTCATGGTACCTCGGGCTCCGCGTGTGTTAGGGCTTTAGGGTTTAGGGCTGTAGGGCTTCAGTAAGTTTAGGGTTTAGTAAGTTTAGGGTAGGGCATAGTAAGTTTAGGGTTTAGTAAGTTTAGGGTTAGGCTGGGTTGCGAGTTTGTTTGGGATTGGGCGAGGGAGTGGCTGGACAAAATCGGCTGATGCAGCACAGCTGACCCGGCCATGGGCACCGAAGTAAATAGAACCCCAAGTACGCCCTCAACCTCATGGGATCCTTTTGCTAACCCTACCCTTCTTTAGGTTCTTTTTTAGGCTAGGTGGGGGCAGGGGGTTCAGGGCTGTGTGGGATCCCTAAACCTGAACCTCAGCAACTAAGGGGGACTAGCAGAGGACGCCCTCAGACCGAATGCCAGGGCGCAAGAAGTCCGGAAGGAGCTGGGCAATTTCCGCCTCGGATTCTAAGGTTTCTCAAGTTTAGAGACTAGGGTTCACGGCTGATCCGCCGACCCTGGCGACGTGTCGGATGGGTTTTGGAGGTGGCCCCAGCGAGGATTGACGCAAGAATGCCCGCCTTGGAAAAGCCGCTGCCACCCACGCCCCCCCCCCCCCCCCCCCAATTTGCAAACACGCTGCTCGCATGATGGGTTTCAAAAAGACTCTTCACGCAAGCCCCCCATGATGGTGTGTAGAAAGCTTGCACAGCTTAAACCTCCCCATTTGCAAAAACGCTGCTCACATGATGGGTTTCGAGAAGATTCATATGCTTTGAATCAGGCTTCCACGTCTTGGAAAAGCGAGGGGGTTGGGGGGGGGTAGCCCCCTTTTGCGAACAACACTCGCATGCATGATGGGTTTTAAAAATCATTCCTATGCTTTGAACGCCCCCGCCTTGGCCCCCCCCCCCCTCCCTCGGTCGCCCAGATATCTCGACAGCTTCACGATCCCCAAATTTCCCGTCCTTCAAAACACATCCCTTTCGTGTTATTCCACGACAACCCCCCCCCCGCCCCAGGCCCGAAACCCTGAACGCCCCAAAAGCCCCGAAAACCCCACCCTAAACCCTAAACCCCGAAACCCTACTAAACCCCCAAACTGTAACCCCAAACCCCAAACCCCAACCCAAATGAATCAAGCCTCCGCCCCCCCCCCCCCCCCCCCCCCCCGCCTTGCAGGGGGCAGCCTGACCAGCCATCTTCGTGCGGAGGAACTCCTGGGGTTTAGGGTTTAGGGTTTAGGGCTTAGGGCTTAGGGCTTAGGGCTTAGGGCTTAGGTCTTAGGGGTCTTGAGTTTTCAGTGTTGAGGATTGCGGTTTGCAGCCGCTGGCACCCTGGGAGCTCCCGAAAAGGAGCCTCAAGCAGAAGCACCTTGCTTTAGCGTGAAGAGTTCTCTAAATGATGGTCTGCTTTAGGGTCACTTTACGAAGGCGGCCCCGAATATTTAGGGTACCCAAAAAAAGGACCATGATTTAGAGAACTCACCAAATATTGCGTGGTGCCCCGAAAGGGGGGGGGTCCAACCCGGCCTTGCACTGCTTCTCCAGGTCCCAGGGTATGGGAAAGATCGTGAGATAGTCGGAGACCTGATACACCTGGCGGCTTGGGGCCGAAGGCTTAGGGCTTAGGGGCGCTTTAGGTGGAATCCTGGGCTAGGTTCAGCTGTGCGGGCCAGAAAACATCCATCTTGAATGATGGTGGGGTGCGAATTAACAAATCACTGACCAAAGTGCCACTACCCGAAACCCTGAACCCTCAAACCGCCAAAAAAACCTCCAAAACCCTTGTAACACCAGCTCCCGTCCAGGTCGCCGTCTCCTTCTGCTGTCGCCGCACGCGTCTGATGTCCTGTGCTACGTGGCCCTACGTGGCCCCGCTAGCCTTGGAAAGCTCCTCGGCTTTTTGTGCCTCCCACTGATATGAACCTACCCAACCCCCCCGCCCCAGAAAAAAAGGGAGGTTAATTGTAGCATGGTGATATAGACAGAAAGCATCTGGCACAATTGAGAGGGGGGATCTTGATCTTTGGGGAGGGTGAGGCAGGAGGGAGAGGGAGAGAGAGAGAGAGAGAGAAAAAAAAAAAAGATGTCGAACCCTGACCTCTGGCACCCAAGAAAAGCCCTCAACCCTGAACCCTTAACGCTAAACGGCCCTTCCTTCCATCCTTAAGCCTCCATGCGGATCACTCGGACAACACTCCGGGTCCGCCAGGTCGTTGGTGACGAGCGAGGCAAACATGGAGCCGAAAAGCAGCCTTCAGCTGGGGAGCCGGGTCAGAGCTGCACCTCAACCCAGTGAGAAGCCTTCGGAGCCTCCCAAAAAAGGAAGGCACCCTAGGCACCCTGAACCCCTAAACCCTGAACACCAAACCCGGAACACCAAACCCTGAACCCTAAACCCTTAACCCTTAACCCTAAACCCTAAACCCTAAACCCTAAACCCCAACCCTGAACCCTAAACCCTAAGAGCTCCCTTGTGCCGAGAAACGCCGAGCCCGAGGCCAAGAGCGCGACCACCCTGTCAGAGAGCTCGTTCAGATCGAGTCTGGCTCTTAAAATATCGAAGCTAGGGTTTAGGGTTTAGGGTTTAGGGTTTAGGGTTTAGGGTTTAGGGTTTAGGTTTTAGGGTTTAGGGTTTAGGGTTTAGGGTTTAGGGTTTAGGGTTGAGGGTTGAGGGTTGAGGGTTGAGGGTTTGAGGGTTTGAGGGTTTGAGGGTTAAGGGTTTGGGGCTTAAGGTTTAGGGTTTAGGGTGTAGGCGTAGACCCAAAACCCTGAACTCTTAGAGTCAGAGAGCTCGAAGGCTCCTCCTCACCTTGCCACCCTGTACCCTAAAGCCAGGAAAAACCGAGGGGAAAAGGTCCTCCTCCAGCCCTAACCCTGGACCCCAAACCTTACAGGAGCCCACACCAAGAAGCACCACGTCTCACGGGGCCCTAAACCTTAAACCCGAAACCCCAAATCTGAACCCCAAACCGCCCCTAAAGCCTAAACTCCAAACCCCTAAACCCTAAACCCGAAACCCCAAACCGCCCCTAAACCCTAAAACCTAAACCCTAAACTCTAAACTCTAAACCCTAAACCCTAAACCCCAAACCCTAAACCCTGAACCCTAAACCCTAAACCCTAAACCCTAAGCCCTTAACCCTGATCCCCAAGGGTTGGAAGGCTGAGGTGCCCCCCGAAAGGGCCTCTCGAGCTGGGTGGGCAGCAGCATGTTCTCGGCAGTACGCACCTGAGGGCTTAGAGGGTTTAGGGTTGAGGGTTTAGGGTTTAGGGTTTAGGGTTTAGGGTCTAGAGGGTCACTGTTCTAGCATTCATAGTCACTAGGGGGTTCCAGGCTTAGAAAAAAACCACCCGCCCAAAGAATCCCATAACATTAACAAAATATTAGGTCTTCATCCTACCGAGCCCCCCGACGAACAATGGGGTCAGATTGACCGAAACGTCACCAACACTGGTCCAGATTGACCGAAAAGTCACGAACATTGGGGTCAGATTGGTATATATATATATATGATAGAGAGGGTTTAGGGTTTAGGGTTTGGGGTTTAGGGCTTAGGGTTTAGGGTTTAGGGCTTAGGGTTTAGGATTTAGGGTTTAGGGTTTAGGGTTTGGGGTTGGGGTTGGGGGTTTGTGGTTTAGGGTTGTTTAGGGTTTAGGGTTGTAGGGGTTTAGGGGTTTAGGGTTTAGGGTTTAGGGTCGATCTAGGGTTTGGGGTTCGGGATTCGAAGCTTGAGGCTTTTAGGGCCTAGGGTTTATAGGGCTGAGGGGTCCAGGCCTCAGGGTGTTTGAAACCCAACAAATGTCTCCCTAGGATGCCTGAAGCGGGGGGGGGCTTTTTTGCGAGGTAAAGGTCCCTAAACCCTAAACCCTAAACCCTAAACCCTAAACCCTAAACCCTAAACCCCCTTGTCCCAAGCTGCAGGCGAGGGGCAGGATGCAGCCGACCCATGGCGGTTTCCAACGTGATCCGGTACTGGTCCTGCCACGAGGAACTGACTTCAAGAAGGACTGCCAGAGCTTAGGGCAAAGAGGGATGCTTAGGTTTAGGCGTTTTTTTAGCCAACCCTAAACCCTAAACCCTAAACCCTAAACCCTAAACCCTAAACCCCAGGGGGAAGGCAAGGCCTGGCCCAAATGATGGCGCGCCTGCATGGGAAGGTCGTCGAGGCTTGCTCCGTCACTGCCTTGGCATCTTGGGAACCCTAACCCTAAACCCTAAACCCTATACCCTGAACCCTAAAGCCTAAACCCTAAACCTTGTTTGAAGGCTCACAGGAGGGTTAAAAGCACAGGAGCGCCAAAAAAACGCACAGTCAGGGTGAAGAATGTAGGGTTCACGCACTTCTGGGTGTTTGGACTTGCTGAGATTGAGCTGATGAGAATGTCCCAACGCTTCTAGGGTGTGTTGAGGGCTTTTGTTGGGGGGGGAACCTAAACCCCTAAACCCTAAACCCAAAAACCCACCCGCACCAGCCCCCCGACCTGAGCATCCTCCAACGCTTCCAGGGTGTGTTGAGGGCTTCGCTTGGGGGGGGGGGACCTAAACCGCTTGACCGCTAAGCCCTAAACCCAAAAAACCTTGGTTGCAGTCAGGCCGCGCACCGCGAACGACAAGCACGTGAGCACGTGCAAGAAGAAGAGGCCCCTGGGGATTTGGGCACTTTGTTGCGGCATGATGTCTTACCCTAAACCCCTGAGTCAGTGAAGGGCATTTTGAGGTTGCACGCAATTTAAAGGAAGCCACAAAGTCTGCCGAAGTCCACCCTAAACCCTGAACTCCAAACCCTAAACCCCAAACCCCAAACCCTAAACCCCAAACCCCAAACCCTGAACCCTGAACCCGAAACCCCAAACCCTAAACCCCAAACCCCAAACCCCAAACCGCGGAGTTCAAGGCCCCGCGGCAGGACCATGGAGAGCAGCATGTTGACCAGCGCGCGCACCTCGCGGCTGCTGCGGTGCATCCAGTTCGACACCGGCCTCCAGGAGTTAAGGGTTTAGGGTTTAGGGTTTGGGGTTTCGGGTTTAGGGTTTAGGGTTTGGGGTTTAGGTTTAGGGTTTAGGGTTTAGGGTTTAGGGTTTGGGGTTTAGCGTTTTGGGTTTCGGGCTTAGGGCTAGAGCCCGAGGCAGACGCCCAGCCCCACCTGGCGAGCCCGGCCCAGTCGTAGAGCCTGGGAAGGTGGAGCACCCGTCCGAGCTGCAAGCCTGGCAAAACCCCCTGGTTTAGGGTTTAGGGTTTAGGGTTTAGGGTTTGGGGTTTAGGGTTTGGGGTTTAGGGTTTAGGGTTCAGGGTTTAGGGTTTAGGGTTTGGAGTTCTAGGGTTGAGGGCCTAGAGTTTAGGGCACATGTGTCCGAGAGCTGTCTTCGCACCATGGAGGTCCGTTCCGGCCCCTATGTTACCCGCAGTTGCCTCGCAGCAGCGCCACAGCCACATCCACCGAGTGCACCCACGTCAGCAGCTCCTTGAGTCGCGCTCAGGTTTAGGGTTTGTGGTTTTGGGGTTTTGGGGTTTTGGGGTTTTAGGATTTTAGGGTCTTAGGGTTTTAGGGTTTTCGGGCTTTAGGGTTTAGGGTTTAGGGCTTGGGGTTTTAGGGTTTTCGGGCTTTAGGGTTTAGGGTTTAGGGTTTAGGGTTTAGGGTTTAGGGTTTCGGGTTTAGGGTTTAGGGTTTAGGGTTTAGGGTTTAGGGACTCTACCTCGCACCCCTATGGTTGTACCCTTTGGGTTTGGGGACCCCGTTAAGATCCTCTGAGGGAAGAGAAGGGCCGTACTGGGAGGTATTTTGAGGTAACCTGGTTTAGGGTTTAGGGTTTAGGGTTTAGGGTTTAGGGTTTAGGGTTTAGGGTTTAGGGTTTAGGGTTTAGGGAGGGTTTAGGGTTTAGGGTTTAGGGAGGCTTCTTGATTTTAGATCCGCCTTTTGCAAGTAAGAGGCAGTAGGTTCAGCAAGGTCCTCAAACCCTCAACCACAAGGGTCCTCCGTGGAAACCGCCGTCCCCTACCCCTTCGTCCAAGGCTCGACGTACAGCATGCAGACCAAGATGGTTTCCTTGCATCAGAGACCCCAGCAAGTCGTTCATAAGGATTCCTGCAACCCCGAGAAACGTTTCTGAGCCCTTAATACGGTCCCGATGTTTTACTAGGATGGCCCTTCAAACCCTCTGAAAAATATTCCTGTATGTGACCCTCTTAAACCCAATAAGGGAAAATAATATCCCAAGGGCCTACCTAGTTTAGAACAATTCTTGTTGAGTGCGGGGCCCCTGCCCCCCATTTGCAGACAGCACACTCAACCCTAAACCCTAAACCCTCAACCCTCAACCCTAAACCCTAAACCCTAAACCCTAAACCCTAAACAGCCATTCTCGGCACTCAGGACCACAGAGTCGACCGACATGCAATCGATGGGTTTCCCCGTCTGCTCCCGGGCACCCACCGCAGCATGGGCTTGGCTTTCGGGTTTGTGGGTCTATCCTTGGGTTTAGGGTTTAGGGTTTAGGGTTTAGGGTTTCGGGTTTAGGGTTTAGGGTTTAGGGTTTAGGGTTGTGGGTGGAGTGGATCTCCGCACGAGTGCCCTTTTAAGCTCACCAGTACTACGTGTAGGGCACAAGTTACTGGCAGGGAAGCTGTCAAACCCACTCAATCCCATGAAGAAGGAGAAGCTCACAAAGCATCTTCTGATTGCGACGACCTTCGCTACTGCTCTTGATCTTTCTATGGATTCCGAACATCAAGTGTGGCCATGTTGCAAGAACCCAAAACAAGAGGATCTCGTGATCTGCCGAGGCGCCACTAGGCACGCGAGTATCACTTCCCGCCAGTTCCAGCTATCGTGGATGCTCAGAAACCAGGCCAGGACCGGGATGTTGACGGTCCTCTGGCTTTTAGGTTTTATGGTTTGGAGTTGAGGGTCTAGGGCACTGAGCAACCCTTGTGGTATGTGGGTGGTTGTCAAAATTCTGGCCCCTTTTTGGATCCCTGTTATCATGCGGCACCTACTATTTAAGGTACCCCAAGTTGCTTTCCGTGACTTGCCGTCTCCGCTGCTTATATACGTTCCTTTGCTTGTTCCTTTCATTATCTACTGTTTGCCTAGAAACCCAACAAAACCCTTAAAAAAAAAAAAAAAAAAAAAAAAAAAAAAAAAAAAAAAAAAAAAAAAAAAAAAAAAAAAAAAAAAAAAAAAAAAAAAAAAAAAACGATCCCTCTTTTGCCCTTGTCATTGTAAGGGAATAATATTTCTTGTTCTCCATCGTTTTTTTTTTTTTTGTTTCGTGCCCTTCTTGATTCCTGCTTCGTTGTGCCCTCGTTCGCTTCCGTCCTGCCTGCTTCGGTCAACCTCCTCCCTTCCTTCCCACTTGCTTCCATCTTTTGCCCACTCCTCCCTCCCTCCCTTCCATCATGCTCATTAAGGCATTAAAAAAAGCCGAAAAACCACGGAGCAGCGCCGCCTAGCAACCGGGCATTCCCAAAAACCCGAAGAATGGGCGCCACTGTATTCAGCCCCTAGCCCCCCAAAACCGCTGGATTCCCTGAATCTCCTGACCCCAAGCTCTAAACTTCTAAACCCGAAACCCTAAACCCCAAGCTCTGCACTTCTAAACACGAAACCCCCTGAACCCCCAGCTGCTCTTCAGGCACAACCCAACCGAAAGCCCCCATCCGGGGTCCAGAAGACCGCCTCCATGATATCGAGAAGCCACCTGGGTGGCAAAAGGGTTAGGATTTAGGGTTTAGGGGTTAGGATTTGGGGTTTAGGGTTCAGGGCTTCGGGTTCAGGGCTTAGGGTTTAGGGTTCAGAAGAAACCCAAAACGCTAAACAGTAGACCCTTAAACCACCACTTACCTCAGCTGGCCATGCCATCGTTGTTCCACACGTTCTGCATGTGCGGGCAGATCGAACTGAATTTTGAACTCAAATTTTTTAAGCCCTTAAAACCTTTTTGGGAGGGAGGGGTCTTGAGGCTGAGAAGGGCCCATGATTCAAGCGGGGTTTAAGTTTAGGCACCCAGAACTGCGCAGGGTCTGGGCCTGGGGTTTAGGGCTACACCCATGGCCCCTGCAGCTGCATTATGGCGTAGGATCTCGGGTTTAGGGGGCTTCGTTCTGAATGTGGGCATGCGGCGTCGGACCACGGCCGAAGGCGAGGAGGGGGATCGAGAAGCAGTCCTGTAGTAGAAGTAGTAGAAGTAGTAGAAGTAGTAGAAGTAGTAGAAGTAGTAGAAGTAGTAGAAGTAGTAGAAGTAGTACTCGTCGTAGTCGTAGTAGTAGCCGTAGCAGCAGCAGGAGGAGGAGGAGGAGTAGTAGAAGTAGTAGAAGTAGTAGAAGTAGTAGAAGTAGTAGAAGTAGTAGAAGTAGTAGAAGTAGTAGAAGTAGTAGAAGTAGTAGAAGTAGTAGAAGTAGTAGAAGTAGTAGAAGTAGTAGAAGTAGTAGAAGTAGTAGAAGTAGTAGAAGTAGTAGAAGTAGTAGAAGTAGTAGAAGTAGTAGAAGTAGTAGAAGTAGTAGAAGTAGTAGAAGTAGTAGAAGTAGTAGAAGTAGTAGAAGTAGTAGAAGTAGTAGTCGTCGTAGTCGTAGTAGTAGCCGTAGCAGCAGCAGGAGGAGGAGGAGTAGTCGTATTTGTAGTCGTAGTCGTAGTCGTAGTCGTAGTCGTAGTCGTAGTCGTAGTCGTAGTCGTAGTCGTAGTAGTAGTAGTAGTAGTAGTAGTAGTAGTAGTAGTAGTAGTAGTAGTAGTAGTAGTAGCAGCAGCAGCAGCAGCAGCAGTAGTAGGAGTAGGAGTAGGAGTAGGAGTAGGAGTAGGAGTAGGAGTAGTAGTAGTAGTAGTAGTAGTAGTAGTAGTAGTAGTAGCAGTAGTAGTAGTAGTACTAGTACTAGTACTAGTACTAGTACTAGTACTAGTAGCAGCAGTAGCAGTAGTAGTGGTGGCAATAAAGTAGCAGCAGCAGCAGCAGTAGTAGTGGTGGCAGTAAAGTAGCAGCAGCAGCAGCAGCAGTAGCAGTAAGGTGTGGTAGTTCACGGTGGGTTTTTGCGCATGACCACGGCCGAAATCGTTGGCGGGCATGTCATTTCAGCAACATGCACATGCTTTCTGGGGGGGCGGCTTCAAATTCTGGCGTCGAAAAAGCTGGCAGGCGCATTTCAGGACAATTAAAGTCGTGCAGACTCTTCCCAACCTGATTCATCCATGCCATACATTAGAGATACCTCATTTACACATTATCCCTCATCGCATTTGCCCGGGTTCGGAGTTAACCCGACCCCCCTCCTCACCCTTAGGGTTCGCGCATCCCCAAGGACAACAGAATCGCGATTGCGGAGTTTGCCTGGGAACACGGCTTCAGTCGTCTAAGCACAGCCCAAGACCGGGTCAGAATGTCCTAGGCCCTACAACACTTTAACTATTTGTGTCTGAGCCTGTTTCACTCTTCAAGACCCTTTGCAAGTAGTCATCTGTACAACTCGGGGGGCAGGGATGCTGGGACCGGTGAATGCGCTGGATCCAGACAAACCCCAAACCCTAAACCCCTAAACCCCTAAACCCTAAACCCTAAACCCCTAAAACCCTAAACCCTAAACCCTAAACCCTAAACTCCTAAACCCTAAACCCTAAACCCCTAAAGCCCTAAACCCTAATCCCTAAACCCTAAACTCCTACACCCAAACCCCCAACGCAAAAACAAGGTGGCGCCTGGAGGATGCAGGCGCCCGACAGCAGCGCCCAGATCTGACGGAAGCGCTGGCCCTTTGCCACAAGCTTTCTCTACGGACTAAGAGGTGCCCTAGGGTTTAGGGTTTAGGGTTTAGGGTTTAGGGTTTAGGGTTTAGGGCTTAGGGTTGAGGGTTTAGGGATTAGGGTTGGGGTGGGTGGTTCTCTACAAACCCACACACGCTTGCAGTTTCGGGTTTGGGGTTTCGGGGTTCGGGTTTTGGGTTTAGGGTTTTAGGGGTTTAGGGTTTAGGGTTTAGGAGTTTAGAGTTTAGGGTTTAGGGTTTAGGGTTTAGGGTTTAGGGTTTAGGGTTAGGGGTTTATGGTTTAGGGCTTAGGGTTTGGGGTTGTAGGTGTTTAGGATTAGGGCAAGCCTCTCTACACCTACCCCCAAAACCCTCAGGCTTGGGGGTTTAGGGGTTTACGGTCCAGGGTTGAGGGATGAGCATGCAAAAAGGGTTAGGGTTCAGGGTTGTAGGGTTCTCGGTCCTGACCATATAACCTGTTTACAATAACAACATGCCCACCCAGTTCCCTCAAGAACTGCTTACCCTAAACCCTAAACCCTAAACCCCTAAACCCTAGTCCCGAAGATCCTTGCCCCAAGCGTCCCCTCGAAGCTTGCGGCCCCACTTGAAGTTGTACTTGCCAGACCTGGACGGTTTGGGGGTTTAGGGTTTTGGGTTTACTACTAATTGCTTAAGAACCCCGAAAAATGAAACATATTCTCCCTTATAAGGGTAATATGATTATTGTTTTCTTCTTTTGAGGTTTTTAAGCAGATAGTAGTTTTAGGGCTTAACGTTTAGGGTCTAAACGTTTAGGGACGTCTTGGTGGGCCTAGGGGGCCGCGGCGTTAGTGTGGGGATTGAGCTGAGACTGAGAGCGCAGGGGTGTTTGGGGTTTAGGGTTTAGGGTTTAGGGTTTAGGGTTTAGGAGTTTTGGGTGTAGGGTTCAAGGTTAAGGGCTAGCTTTTCAGGGCGAAGTGAAGCAGGCGAGCTCTGTAGAGCCTCGAAGCTGCCTAAGACCCCAAACCCTACATTACCTAAACCCTAAATAGCCCTAAACTCTAAACCCTAAACCCTAAACCCTAAACCCTAAACCCTAAACCCTAAACAACCCTAAATAGCCCTAAACCCCTAACCCTAAACCCTAAACCCTGGCCAAGACCCTAAACCCTAACCCTACATCCCAAACCCCCTAACCCTAGTTCCTGGACATCCGGCAGGGGGCTGCAGGCGCTTCGTCGTCAGCTTCTCGCAAGACTTTCGGCGGCTGATGCGGTACGTGCCCTGGAGGGGGCTTTGGTGGGATTAGGGTTTTGGGGCTTGGGGTTGAGGGTTTTGGGGCTGAGGGTTTAGGGTTTAGGGTTTAGGGTTTAGGGTTTAGGGTTTAGGGGTTCAAGGGGTTTGGAATTGAGGGTCTTGGCCTGAGGGGCTGGGCATCAGGGCGAAAGAAGCCTCAGAAGCTGGCTTCCGAACACCAAGCCCTGAGATCATGGGCTTCACCCCAAACCCTCAACACCAAAGCCTAAGCCCATAACCCTTAAACTTAGGGATAAGGAGGTGCCCATTCAAAGGCTTCAGGGCTTAGGGCCTCGCAAACCCTAAACCCTAAACCCTAAACCCTAAACCCTAAACCCTAAACCCTAAACCCTAAACCCTAAACCCTAAACCCTAAACCCAAACCCTAAACCCTAAACCGGGCTTCGGGAACACCTCCAAGCCGAAGTACCCCGAAGAGCCCACCTGCTCATCGGCTCGCTTCTGCCACTCTGTGAGCATCTGGAAGACAGAAGCTTCAGAAGACTCCTCCAGGCAGGGTTTAGGTGTTTAGGGCTTCTGGAAGACAGAAGCTTCAGAAGACTCCTTAGGCAGGGTTTAGGTGTTTAGGGCTTCGGGTTTTAGGTGTTTAGGGTTTAGGGTTTAGGGTTTTAGGTCTTCAGGGTTTAGGGTTTAGGGTTTAGGGTATAGGGTCTTCAGGGTTGAAGGTTTTAGGTGTTGAGGGTTGAGGGTTGAGGCCATGTCAGCCCCGAGTCGGAATCTCTCCCAGAAACCCCCCCCCCAAACCCCAGAACACAAAAACCCATCACATGACCTATTCCCCTGTATAACCCCTATATATATATATATATATATATATATATATATACCTTATATAGCCCCTATATATACCTTATGTAACCCATATATGTACCTTATAGAGTCCTCATCCCTACGTTAGCCCCATGAGGATCCCTCCCTTTGTCCCTTGACATTAGACACCCTAAACCCTCAACCCTAAACCCGAAACCCGAAACCCTTAAGCCCGAAACCCTTAAACCCTAAACCCTAAACCCTTAAACCCGAAACCCTAAACCCCTAAACCCTAAACCCTAAACCCCTAAACCCTAAACCCTAAACCCTAAACCCAGAGGTTGCTTTGCGGGCCATGCCACGCTCTCCAGGTCGTCGGCTGTGCCTACGCGCAGCATCGCAAGGGGCTTTGCAGAGGGATTAGGGTTTCGGGGTTCGGGGTTAGGGGTTGAGGGTTGGGGGTTTAGGGTTCACGGTTTAGGGGTTGGGGTTTAGGGTTTAGGGTTCAGGGTTCAGGGTTCAGGGTTCAGGGTTCAGGGTTCAGGGTTCAGGGTTCAGGGTTCAGGGTTTAGGGTTTAGGGTTTAGGGTTTAGGGTTTAGGGTTTAGGGTTTGGGGTTTGGGGTTTAGGGTTTAGGGTTTAAAATGAGGTGTTCTCCGGTTCTCCCCTGTTTTCTACCAGAAAACAAGGACAAAAAAAACAAAAAGAATATAATAATAACAATAATAGTAATAATAATAATAATAATAATAATAGTAATAATAATAATAATAAGAGTAATAATAATGGGTCCCTGCTTACATGGGGCTCTTTGAGGCTGCATGTAGTGCTTAGGGTCTGTGCTAGGGCCCTTCGAAGGGGAACCGCCTTCTTACCTGCAAAATGTCCTATCTTGCTGTGTTTTTTTGCTTTTTTTGCGGGGGGGGGGGGGGGGGGGGGGTGGCTGAACTGTGGCAGTTTTGCATGTGGCCGATGATCGTCAACCCTCAACCCTCTCAAACCCTAAAGCCCTACCTAAACCCCAGAAATCCCTAAACCTAAAGCCCTAAACTCTAAACCCTAAACCCTGAACCCCGGAAATCCATGGAAATCCCCGGGGGCCTTCCATCTCAGCCGCATCGCCCGCAGCCGGGAGACTGATCATCGGCCTGAACTTCTTTCAGCCCCTCCTCCCAGCACACCTTACCCACAATCCCAAGCCACATATTTACATTCTTACACTGTTATTCCCTGGCTCTTCCTTTTTACAATACCGATACAATTTGACACGTTTACGCTTCTCAGATTATTACATTATTACGAAATGACGCGCAACTACGTTGTTTCGCCACAATATGTGACTACGCTACTACCGTATCGCGCTATTACGGTCTTGCGTTATACGTTTGTTTTTCTTCGTTGTTGCGCAAGAATTCCAGTTTTGCATTATTTCAGTATTACCGAGTTACACTATTTCATTTCGAGTGTATTACATGTGCTTTTACTGTTAGACTACTACATGGATTGGTATGTCTATATATACACAGATTCTGCTATTAATGTATGTCCGTTCATCTTCGGTAGGGGTTGAATCTTGTTTTTGTTGGATTTCTTGGTTCACTATGTCAGAATTTTGATAATCTATTCTTACTTTATGTCGTGATCTCACTATTTCATTGTTTCGCTAGGCCTTCAGTATTTGGCTATATCATCATTCATTACATCACCCTTTTCAGTTCTCCATGTTCGTTCTTTCGCTATTTTTCATTCTTTCACTCTATTCTTAATTCACTGCTCAATTCATTTTATGGCTTGATTGTTGCATCATGTCACTCCATTATTGAGTACTCCATTTGCAATGTCTCATGTTCATGATATGCGTATATTGTGCTCTTACTATAACAAAGCATTACTTGTGGACAGCGATGACCCCTAAAACCCTAGACCGTAAGCCCTACAACCCTAAACCCGTTCTTCTTATGCTGGTCGTGGTTGTTCTTTTGCTTGCGCTCGCAATTTCTGAGTCTAAGGCCTACCTTGAGATAGCAACTCATAGGGCTTTAGGGTCTTAGGGTTTAGTTTAGGATTTAGGGCCTAGGGTAAGGGGGACTAAGGGTCTAGACACCCAAGAGTAGCCGAGATTTAAAACAGGGTGCCCTTTTGGTCTAAAGGAGGTTCCAAGGGAACCTAATAGGGTCAGGGGTTTAAGATTCTCCCCAGGTACAACAACCTCTGTCCCAAGGAACTGTCGAGGCAGAGAGAGCATGCCGAAAACAATCGTACGACAGAAGACAACAAACAGTCTTTACGTAATTTTACGATTATACTCCATCAGCAACCGCTGAGGCCAAAACCGTCCAAAGCCCCCGAGGCCCCTCCCTTAAAAACTGCTCAAGCACACGCACCTAAACAGACCCCCACCAAAAAAGCAATCAAAAAACCTCCCTCTAAACCCTAGGGTTTAGGGTTTAGGGTTTAGGGTTTAGGGTTTAGGGTTTAGGGTTTAGGGTTTAGGGTTTAGGGTTTAGGGTTTAGGGTTTAGGGTTTAGGGTTTAGGGTTTAGGGTTTAGGGTTTAGGGTTTAGGGTTTAGGGTTTAGGGTTTAGGGTTTAGGGTTTAGGGTTTAGGGTTTAGGGTTTAGGGTTTAGGGTTTAGGGTTTAGGGTTTAGGGTTTAGGGTACACCCTGAACATCCCAGAACCCTGCACGAGCAAAAGCGAGCTGCGACTCGGGCTCGTGGAGGTAGTTTGGCGGATCCACACTCTCCGTGGCCTAGGGGGAAAGTTGGGGCGCTTAGAATCTTAGGGTTTTTAGGGGTAGGGTTTAGGGTTTAGGGTTTAGGGTTTAGGGTTTAGGGTTTAGGGTTTAGGGTTTAGGGTTTAGGGTTTAGGGTTTAGGGTTTAGGGTTTAGGGTTTGGGGTTTGGGGTTTAGGGTTTAGGGTTGAGGGTTTAGGGTTTAGGGTTTAGTGTTTACGGGTCGGGATCAGGGTTTATCGGGTTTTTGGGTTTTTTCGGCTTTGCCGTTTAGGGCTTCAGGGTTTAGGGTTCCCAACCAAGCAGACAGAAACCTGAAGCCAAAAACCCTAAAACCGTAAAACTCTAAACCCCCCCCCCCAAAAAAAAAGTATACATACATATATATATATATATCAAAAATAATAACACCCTAAAACCCCAAAACCCTACTGTGGGGTCACAAGTCGATCCTAGAGTAGTTACGTGGTCCCGCAGTATGGGCCCTTAACAGAAGGACCCCTTATATGCCACCCAAGCACCCCTAGATCAGAACCCTTTACGGGAGGTAAGGGGACCTACCCCTAAACCCTAAACCCTAAACCCTAGACCCTAAACCCTAAACCCCAAACCCTAAACCCTAAACCCTAAACCCTAAACCCTAAACCCTAACTCAGATCGATGAGACGTCTTCGGGCCCTCTGTCCCACTAGGGGAAGCCTTTGTGATCATTCACTACCTCTTCGGGTCGTGTACGTGGGCCCCTTAAAACGGCGCCAGCTTTTGGGCTCTTCAGGTTTTTGGGCCTTCAAGTTCGGGTTCTAGGGTTTTTCCGGGGTTCAGGGTTTAGGGTCGTAGGGTTTAGGGCCACCGGCTTTCGTGTTTCGGGCGATTTCCAGTATGGGTCCTTTTCTGGAAAAACCCTTCCATACCCCCAATAATCACGCGCCCCTTCTTCAGAAGCCGGAAAAAGAAGGAAAAAGGGACCATAGCACGTGACCTTGTAATTTCCCTAAACCCTCAAACCTAAACCCCAAACCCCAAACCCAAAGCCCTACACCCGAAACCCTAAACCCTACGCCTTGAACACTTGCACCCCTCGACACGAGTGCCAAGGCGCCTGTGGGCCTGGGTAGAGGTCGGTGGGGAAGGAGCCCATCATCACCTGGGTTTAGGGTTTGGGGTTCAGGGTTAAGGGTTTGGGGTTTAGGGTTTAGGGTTGAGGGTTTAGGGTTTAGGGTTGAGGGTTGAGGGTTGAGGGTTGAGGGTTGAGGGTTGAGGGTTCAGTCCGAAAACCTCGGCAAAGGCACCTCTGCTGAACTGTCCAGGGGTTTGGCCCTTGAAGCACCATGGGTTTTGAGTCCATGGCTTGGGGTTTAGCCCGGGGGCTGGGTTTCAAGGCCGAACCCTACACCCTAAACCCCCTGAACCTCTAAACCCCTAAACCCCTAAACCCCTACACCCCCCCCAGCCTGGAACCGATCTCAAGTCTCCTGCATGGCTAGAAGTCTAGGGTTTTAGGGCTCAGGGCATTACAGGGTTTAGGGTGGGTTTTAGGGGTCAGGGCATTTTAGGGTGTTAGGGTTTAGGGCTTTGGGGTTAGGGCCTTGTCGGTTTTAGGGATTCGGGTTTAGGGCTTAAGGGTTTTTATTGTCCTTTTTTGAGTTGTTGAGTTTTTGCTGGTTTTCACGGGCTTTAGGGGGGGGCGGGGTGGGGGCTTCGGGGTAGATTTTAGGGGATACTAAGCAGACTTACTAAGTCAGTGGGGGGCACATGGTAGTCTGATGTAGACTCATAAGTGAATAAGGCTCCCCCCATAGCCCGAGCCGTACCCAAACCCCAAGCCCAAAGCCAAACCAAACACCCTGCACTCTGGACTTCTCAGATCCCCAAACCCTTAACTGAACCCCTAAACCTCTGTAGGTGCCTGGAGGCTAAGAAAAACTCCCAAACCCGAAACCTCTGTGCCGCGGCTCTGGAGGCTCGCTGCAGGGCGTGGGAGGCTGGCGGGTCCCATCTGGCGAGAGGAAGCTGAGGTCTCAGGGTAGATACATGGTCCCTTCAATATAGGCTCTTGTTTGGGGGAACCCTGTTCTACCCCACATATACCTACATACCCATGGGCCCATTCTGCAGAACCCTAGGGGGCCATATTGCGGGACCCCGTAACTTCAACTAGATAAGGGCCATGTCCCCTCACAAAACTTGACCTTTATTCAGGTAGGACGAGAGTTCGACCCACGACCAACAAGCACGGCAATCTCAAGCCCCCATCTCCCTTAGACTGCTAGCACACCAGCACTCCACCTGCACAAAATAGAAATACATTTTGGTTCCGGTGGATTGATTTCTCAGCTAAATCCACATATTCGCGACTCCGCGACTCCGCAACATGTTCAGGTCCTGGTAGGTCGAAACTTTAGTCCTGCCCATGTACGGGTATGAATTGGGATGTTGCCCTTATACTAACAGTCCTCAATAGGGATTATATCATAAGGGGTACTAGAATCCCTATTAAGGACTGTTAGTGAGGGGGACATTCCAAGGTATTAAGCTCGTTAGGTAATGGGAGCCCGAAAACCAAAGCTTTAAACAATGAGCTTCTTTTCAGGGGCTGGTCTCGTTGCGAAGCTTGGCCAGCCACATCTGCTCCGTACCCATGGGAGCATGGAAGATGGCAGCCCATTCGGCACCCTAAACCCCGAAAACCCACCAACCAACGCGCTACGCCCTAAATTCACCCTAAACCCTAAACCCTAAACCCTAAACCCTAAACCCTAAACCCTAAACCCTAAACCCTAAACCCTGAACCCTAGGTTCCTTAGAGTCCTCCTCGGGCCTGGACTGCCTGGCACTCTAGAGTTTAGGGTTCAGGGTTTCAGGCGTCCCGAGACCCCAAGCCCTCAACCCTGAAATCCCCAAACCTCAAACCCGAAACCCGAAACCCTAAACCCTAAACCCTAAACCCTAAACCCTAAACCCTAAACCCTAAACCCTAACCCCCCAAGAAACCGCCTGACGTGTGGAACCTCACCATGGGTTCGTGGGAATCGAGCAGCTTACGGATGAGCGCCCTGGGATCAGTTTAGGGTTTAGGGTTTAGGGTTTAGGGTTTAGGGTTTAGGGTTTAGGGCTTAGGGCTTAGGGCTTAGGGCTTAGGGCTTAGGGCTTAGGGCTTAGGGCTTAGGCTTTAGCGTTTAGCGTTTAGGATTTAGGGTTTAGGGTTTAGGGTTTAGGGGTTCTTTGTTCAGCTCGGGGGGCTGAGGGTAAGGTTGAGGGGTTTGGGTTTTGGGGCTTGGGGTGTAAGGGCTTCGGCCATGGGTGGTTGGGAAGGTCCTGCCTCCAATGGGACTTCGGAGGGTTCGTGCGATGCCGCCATGATCTGGTCTTACCATCTGATCCCGCTCCGGGCCTTCCACCCGTAAAGTGAACGG